AAAATAAAGTATTTTACAGTAGTATATTGTATTTTATCTACATGTCTTTGACTTGTAGTGTATTTCCCCCACAAAAAAAAATTAGGTACTTATACAATAACAAAATAATGCTATACTGACATCAGCATATTACCACATTGACAACCATACCAATCAAAAACCATCCATGGCATTGCAGTACCAATAGGTGATTTTCCGTACAATTGCGAGATCTCGTGAGATGCATGAAAGACGCGCGTCGAACGTCTGCCGGAAAAATCGAACGATTTGATTTTGAACTAGAATTTCTTTATTTGGTAGCTTACATTGACCGGCCGATCTTCGACAGAGGAATATTGCTTCCGAATACCCTTACTTAATCGAAATTGCCTATCGTCAAATGTGGACAGCACATTATTAAGCATGGAAATGTCCCCGAAATACTTTCGCGTTTGTCGAATCCCACGCGATGTTTGACGCGACTACAACGCTATGACCTTTGTTTGTCCTGTTTTTACGTTCGATTTCACGCATAACGCGTGATTCTCGCAGTGAACGGAAAATGGTCTATTATGGATCAATGCAGTCTTACGTTTCCCTCGCATTTGACGTCACACTGGAATATCTATTTTTTTCTGCTTGGTTCTTTTAGTTCACATGTGTATACCAGTATGTTGCCATTTATACTGATAGTATGAAACACAATTTCTAGAAAATATTTCATCAGAAATTGTAGAGCTAAACAAAATAATAATACTTCAATATTTTTGTTTACAGATGTGGCATATTTATTTCAAGATCTAGCCGAGTTGGAGAAAGAGATGCTGGAAGAAACTCTAGAATATGACCAGTTATCAGGTAAAATATTTAGTACATGTATTAATGTTGTAAACTGCATTTTTACAATGTTATGGCATTGTTTTTGGGACTACTTTATTGTAGGTGTCAGAATACGTACTTTTATAATGGTGTTATATGTCACCTGATCACCCGAGTGTATTGATATGTAAAAAGTAGTGCCGTTGGTGTAACTGAAAATGGCAGAATAAACAAGAAGTTAAATTTGAAAGCTCTCTTAAATTTGAAAGTTTCTTTGATGTTTTGTGTGTCCCTGAGTCAAGGCATCACAGCCATACAAACTTCACAAAAATTGAACACAAAGGTCTGACTGAAGGTGTTGATTGGAATTTTGAGATGAATATTTTAAAATTATGTAAAGACTGAATAAAGGCATTAAAAATAAAGGTTAAAATTATATATATTAATAATATACATATAACATTCTTATACAAACCATCATCTTTCTGCCCAATTCCCACAGAGGAAAATTTTCATCTGAAACATTACTTGACAATTAAATAAAATGTTCAAAAAGCAAAATAAAACTGGAAATGGTAAAGTCTTGAGCCGACATGCATTTGATCTTTATCTTTCACTGCTAGCCTTAGTCATATTGCTTTGATATTTATGAATATTTTACTATTATTACTAATTTATGGATACTGGTAATATTAGAATTGGCAAAAAAAAATGGAAAATTCTGAATTTTTCATGAATGTCTCTTTCAGATGATGTAACTCAAGAATACGAGAGCATAGAAATAGACAATGTTACTTCAAAGAGGCCCATCATACAGGTATAATATACATATACATGTATATGTGAATGCATGTTGCATTTTATTCAGATGAAATTGTTTGCAATAAATAATAAACCTGATTTAACTCTTGCCATGGTGTCATGGTTCTTAAACCATTACCAAATGCAGTTGAAAGCTTTTTGAGTTTTGAATCAAAAATTAAATCTGGAATGAATTGCTTTTTGATCTCTGCTTCAAGTACATGCTGAACACACCTAGCCTAGAAAGTGTGCAATATTCCATGTGCAAAGTTTGTTCCAACTGGGTCGTACGTAACATGAGTAAAACAGCTGTACTTTAAATTTGACAGGTCGGATCCTAAACGGGTAAACAGGAAACAACTCAAGAATCTGGTGTACATCTAAGAATAATATTAAAGGAAAATGCTTCATATTCAGAATATTCAGATTATGTAAATAGTCCATTATTGAACAGCGAATCCTGAGTGTGATTCAGTGACTTGATTAGCCCCCCTAGGATGCTGAAAAAAATTGATTCTATCGAATATACAGAACTGCTTAATGATGTTTGACTACCAGATATTAGTAAACAACTTCTGACTCACAGATATATCTTGACTGTTTATTATATGACGCATAATACTTCACATGCCCAAAAAATTTCACTGACAATACAATGTTAAATAAACTTTTGTTCTTGAAGTGTAACGTTCAAACTTCTAACTTGAAAATACTTTTCACAAACAAAAAAAACACATAATTTTTCTCAACAATTTTGAGCAAGACCTGTTGCCAATAACCATTTGGTCCAAAATTGACCAAGAAATTATAGAAAAATGTATACAAATATGCAAAGTGTTACATCAAAATTGTTACTGGGCACTATAAAAAGTATCTGCATACTGTAAAATGAATAATATTCACTGAGTTTAAATTTCACTGATTTACCATTTCAGGCATATTCAGTGGGTTTTAAATTCACGGTTTAATTATTTAGATAATGTGTTCTATGCTCAATTTTACATATTCACTGGGTTTTAATTTAGCGCATTTTCCAGTCAGCGAAATAAGCAAAATTAAAACCCAGTGAATAATTAACCCCTTTTACAGTATTTAATATTTATTGCTTTTGATTTGATTTCTCACAGAGTGAGTCAAGCATAGATGACTGTCACCAAGAAACCTAGACATGAGCTGACGACAGTAAAC